ATTAGCCAAATATACTATCAATAAAATCCTGGATCACAAGTACTCACCTTAATATTTAAAAAAAAAAAAAAAAAAAATATACAATTACAAAGACTGTTGACTACTTATTTTACTTGCTGCACTTTGTATAATATTATTTTCCATTGGAGTTATGCTCTTTTGTTGCTTTAAAATCCTAAATGACTTATTCAAAGATCATGATATATTTAAAACACTAGTTCACAAATTCATTTATGAATCCCTTTATAATCAATATCATGATAACCTGGATATAAAAACTACTCATGTTTCATTCTTTATATTCAAGATATCATATGATTTCATTTGAGCAGTTATAACAGGAATGGCACAATGAAATAGTTCGATACAAATTATAGGTCTGCTTATTACTGAAATTTTTTATTTTCTTTTATTGATAATTTTCAAGCTGTATAAAATGAAATTAATAAATAATTTAAACATAATAATATCATTTTTAAAATTATTTATTATCCTTATAATGACTCTATTTCTTTCTTTTGCTAGCAGACCACTAGAAAATTTTATAAGTGCATTACATTTTATTGAAATTGAAATGATTTTGATTGTAATATTATTACAATTATTTACATCAATTAGGGGTCTTTTCAATAGAAAAGACCAATCAAGAAAGAAGAATTAAAAGAATATAAAATTGTAAAAGTTAGCATTAATTATTGATAAATTTTTTAAATTTATACATATATATAGATATATAAAAGAAAAAAAATTTATTTCTTTAAGTATTCAAAATTCTTATTCCTTAAACTGTTTTGCCTAGAATTTTTAAAAATAGTTCCAAATTAGCTAATTTAGTCTCATTGATTTTAAACATTTATAGCAATTGTTTTTATACTGTATATATGTAAAAAATCATCAGGCAAATTTGCCTGGAAATTTTATTATCAAAAATGATTGGTCAGATTCTTCAGATAAATTTGTGTTAACAAACATATATACATACATATATATATATTTGGTGTATGTCATTAAAGTTTAGTTCCAAAAGTGTGCACTTACAGAGGTTTTACTATATATGTGCTTGAATTTAAGCATGTATTTAGAAAGGTGTGCACTTAAAGAGGATGCACTTATGAAGGTTTCACTGTTTTATTAACTTATACAGTTTATTTTTTTATAATTACTTTTTATTATACAATTCTTTATAAATGCAAAATTTCTTAGAATAATGGTATGATTGTATAATAAAAATTTTGTCAATACTTACTTTTTTTAAATATATATAAATTATAGTATAATAAAAATCTTGTCAATACTCACTTTTTTTAAATATATATAAATTATATACAGTAAAAAGGTTTTAATTTTCTCTAATTACTAGTTTTCTTATCTTTTACTAATTTTAATACTTTTTTTTAGTTTCGCCACTTTTAGCAGCTTTGCTAGTTTACTATTTTGCTATTTTAAATTTTTTTTTTGGCAAAACCCAACACTAATCTGGTAACCATAATATTGCAAGTGCCAGACCTAATAACTGTTAAAATAATAATGCTATAACTTGCGCAAAACTTGGTTATAATACAAAAAACACTTTCTATCATAATTTTAAAGAGTAGGACAGTTTATTACTGTGGCACAAATAGTGAAAATTTTTCATCTAAAGATTAGAAGTAGCAGTAGATATGTAAATCACTTTTATGTATTGGTTTGGGTTAAACATTTAGTCATAATTAATAGTCAACTTAATTAGCTAGGATTATTATTTTTTTTTTATAAATATAATCAATGTTTATTCATTGTTGTGACTACTGATTGTATCATTTTTTTGCTTAGTGTTAGAATTGTTAATGTAATAAAAATAAAGATCTTCAATTCATTGTTAAAGTAGAAAATGTAGACCAATAAACTGTGTGATTATGATTCTTTTGTTAACAGGAAAGTAAAACAATTATATAGCATTAGCTTTTTTTATTTAGATAATAAGATTTGATTTCTGAGAAATATTTCTAAAACAGAAACTTGGTTTATATGTATACAGAGTAGAGATGTGAACTGAATATTAAACAGATAATACTAGTACGATCACATGAAATGTAAAAGGGATAGTTCTATTCAACTTTTTAGGCATGGCCTATGCTAATTTTGAAAAAATTCTAATTTAGTAGGATTATTGATTTTTATTTATTCATTTTTAGAAATTCTTATGATTTTAATCTTCTGAATGTCAGTATAATTATATTCTGTGATTGATGTATATCTTGATTGAGTGCTCATGATTTGTTGCTATGTAATCAACTGAAATCTGTAATGGGTAGTTATTCTAATATTTTTGAAATTTGTGACTATTGTAACATTCTTTTATTAGTATAATGATAACTGTAATTATTTGAATTTCTGGTTAATGTTGTAATAAAAATATTGTAATACCTATGTGATCATGTGAAGTTTGGAAGGATAGTTTTTGTTCAACTTTTTTTGGTGTCTACTATTGTTATGCTAATTTTTATTAAACTCTTTTTTGGTAAAAGTAGCAATTTTTAACTATCTATTTTTAGAAAGAGTTAGGATTTCAGTTTTTTGTAATTATAATTTTATTGTTATGATAATTGTCATATCATTTAAATTACATTTGTAAAATGGAAGAAACTGTCAATGTTACACAACTGGTCCTTTACTCAGTGTGAACCATATAAAAAAATTTCACATGATCATGTGAATTCTTTTGTCATGATATTTTTTTGCATAAAATTACATAATCAGTTTTGCAAAATATCGCAGAAAAAACTTTATATGGGTTATATTAACTATCAGATAACATTATTATTGAACATACATATGACAAATAACAGAAAATTTTTTGGCATCTGTTCAATAATGTATACTTATTTTACAATACCAGATCATTCTGCTAGTACATGTTATGATTATAATCCAACACTATTTTATTATAATAAAAATGGTCTTGGATTATAATCATAACATGTATTAGTGAAATAATCTGGTATTGTAAAATAATTTTTTTATATAGTTCAAACTAGGTGAAAGATCAGTTGTATAACATTAACGGTTCTTTCTGTTTATTTGTAGATACCCATCATTATTTGATTGAATCATTATGTTGTTAATTGTTGTTGATTGTATGTAGTATAAGTGTAAGAAAATAATACAACAAGATGAATTAAGATGAAAAAATATGAAATTACAAGTTTATATATTTACATTGAAAATATAAATTTACCTCGTAAAACAAACATTAAAATATGCTAGTACAGTATAAATATATATAATATTTACTTACAATTGCTAAATGCTTTAACTTAACTTACATTTACTTTTCTTTATCATGTTTTTCTTTATTTATATGCATATACAAATATATCAAAATTAAAAATATAATAAGTATAAAATACAAAAAAGAAGTGCGACCTGTGGGTCGATAGCGCAGTAGTTAGCACTTCCAGGTCTCAATTGCAAGGTCGCAAGTTTGAGTTTAAAGGGTGACAACAACTCTGCCAGGACCATGATTAGAAAAAAGATCTGCAGAGGACTTTTATTTAAAAGCAAGAACAATATTTATACAAAAAGAATGCAGTCACCAGCATAGCCACAGAGTTGGGAACAACTAAATAAGGTGTAATCTGTCAACAAATGACACTAACATTGAGAGAGCCTGATTTAAGAATACATAATAGTAGAATTAAGGACTTTGAAATATACAGATGATTTGGTTAGTGGGTCATATGAAGTTAGGAAACTGCAGATCAAAAAGAATAGTAGGTCTTACACCATAGGGCCAGGGACCCAAAACATTCTATAGTAGACTTGATGAAGCATGAGTTATCTCATGAGTTCGGTGACATGCAGGAGCCACATGCTGTCTAATAATCTTCGCAGAATGATAACTCTGGCCTTTAAGAGATGTAACAGATCCTAAAGGTGTCTAAGGATCTTTAGGATAGCAAAGAGAGATAAAAAAAAAAAAAAAAAAAAAAGAAGCACAATTCTTATAAAATTACAAACCTTATATATAAAACTTCAGATTACTATAATTATGCCACATAGGCACACATAACAAACTAATTACACAAAAACAATTCTACAAAAAAAAAAAATTCAATTATCTTTAACTAAAAATTAAATAAATAGCTAAAAACATTTACTGTATGGCTCTGAAATTAAGTACCCCTTTTTCATTATAGCAGGTGCTTAATTTCGGGTACTTTGTTTTTTTCAAGTCCAAATATGATAAACTTTATGATGTGATGTAATTTATGTAAATAAACATAAATTACTAGATTAAAATAGGAAATTTTTAATTTATTTTGTCTACTACACTGTCATTGCAAAACAAAAATAAAATCGTTATCAAAAATAAAAAGGTCAATAGAAAAACTGCTAAATGTAAATGTAATTCATATTTTATTAAACAAAAGAAACAAGTTGTTGTTTATGCAAAAGAAGATGGAAGGAATAAAGCTGCAGATGCTTTTAATCTTGACCGTAGTATGGTAGGCCATTAGATTAAAGCAAATAGGTTATGGATAACTGGAATGAACCAAAGCATCAAGTGAATTGGTTCTGGTCGAAATGAATTTTATCCTGAAGCTAAAAAAAAACTATATGATTGGATTATAGAACAGAGAAAACAAGGATTGGGCATTACCTTTGACTTTGCACATATTGAAATGTTTAAAATTTTAAAAAAACCAGATATAAGAGATCTTTATGCCAACTTAGCGAAAAATTTTAAAGTATCATATCATTAGATATTTGCATTTATAAAAAGATATAGTCTATCTCGATGGTGATGTACTAAAGTTTCACAAAAACTTCCTTCACAACTCTAGCAATCATTGGAGAATTTTTATAACTTTATTACCCATCTTAAACAAAGAAAGCTCTTTGAATTATCTAATATTCTAAATATGGATGAAACCTCTGTCTGGTTTGATATAACTAGAAACTTTACAATTGATTATAAAGATGAAAAAACAATTCATATCTGTGAAACTGGTCATGAAAAAAATTGGTTTACAGTTGTTTTAACATGTGTTGCAGATAAAAATTTTTTTTATAATTTATAATACAAATATATGTTTTACTAATTATTATACTGTAATTGTTCTAAATATAGATAGAACAAAATTTTCTCCTATTTGTATCTTTAAAGAAAAACAATTACCACACAGCGAAAATATTCCACCTGGAGTTATTGCTTGGTTTCAGTACAATAGTTGGATGGATACTAGCTTGATAATATGATATATTGATTATCTTAATAACATGAAAATTAATAATAAATATAAAATCCTAACAATAATAATATATAACTCTTTTAGTGAACATTTGGAAGATTCTGTTAAAGATTATTTTGGAATAGTGGTATTGATTTAGTAGTAATCTTAGGTGGTTTAACTAGCATTTGTCAACCACTTGACATCACAGTTAATAAACTATTTAAAGACAATCTTTGCAAAGAATGGCATCTCTGAATGTCAAAAGGTAGTGCTAAAGTAACTAAAGCTGAAAACCTTCGATGTGCTAAGATAGGTGATGTATATAGATGAGTAGTACATACATGGGAACAAATTTCAGAAGAATTAATTATTAAATCTTTTATAAAGTGTAATATTTTAAACAAGTTAGATAAAAATACTAATATCAATAGTAACAAATTAGGAGATTCTAACAATGAATATGCAAGCGAAGATATTGAAATTATAAATATTAGTGAAGATGAATATGCAAATGAAGATATTAAGTTATTGATATTAGCAAAGATGAATATGCAGATAAAGATATTGAAGTTATTGATATTAGCAAAGATATTGAAATCATAAATGTTAGTGAAAATGAAAGTACTGAAATTATTAATATTAGCAAAGATATTGAAATTATGAATGTTAGCGAAGATGAAGGTATTAAATTCATTGATATTAGTGAAGATATTGAAATTATTAATATTAGCGAAGATATTGAAATCATAAATAGTGAAGATAATAATATTGTAAATCTTAATAAAGATATTAAAATTATAGGCATTAGTAATTATTAGCTTTATTTAGTAGCTTTATTTATTATAGTTGTAAATTGTATTATTTAACTAGTTGAAATTAATAATTAA